CACAAAGGCCTTTTTGGAGTTAGCTGGTAGAGTTGTTCAGAATGAAGAGACAGAATGCAACCTCTATCAGTGATGGAAAGAGGAACGTGTGGAGAAAACAAGGGACAACTCGAGACCTACAGCACCTCCTCATCCGTCAACACTGCCTCTGTTATGACTTGGACACATCTGGCTGCCAGTAGGACTAGCACACTGGTGTTTATTGATGATTTCACTGCCGACAGAAGCAACACGATGAATACAGAGGTACAGAGGAGCAGCCTGTAGCTGAGATTCATTCAAAACCATCAAAATGCACTGGACAACATTTCTCATTCAGCAGAGCGGGACCAGTGATTCTCAACATACAGCCAAAGCAACCAAAGAGCTTTTAAGGGTGAAGAGGTGAAATACTGTTGACTAGTTTAGTCAGTCAGCTGATCTCAGTCCACTTGCTGAAGACCAGCCTAACAGGAACTGAACAAAAGCTGGAGTGAAGACTGGGAGAGCATCACCAGGAAAGATTTGGAGCGCATGCTAATGGGTCCAAGACTTTAGGCAGGTACTGACTGTAAAGGGTCTTCCACAAAATATTAAATCGGATGATGTTGCTTGGCTTTATGTAAATCTGTGCAATTACTTCGAACACCTAAACTTTGGGCCCTATGTGTTAAATTGGCTCCCACATAGTTGTTTCCATACTGAACAACAATAACAAACTATAATAAAAAACTGACATTTGGCACAGTTCTTTATTTAATTTTAGTTAATGTGCTGAAGTACAGAGCCTGAAAAGCAAAACATGAAACAATACTTGTGGCCCTTGGACTGTAGGTTCTGCCTGTCTCATCAGGGATGTCCCCTGCTGGCCAAAATATGTATAACATGCTGCAACACTGCTGTGATGGAAGATTCCCTCAGTATGATCAGTGTAAATGTGAACTGTATTACAAAAGTCTGAAAATAAATTTTACTTAGTTCACTGCCACATTTTCAAACCAAAACATATTTCTCACTTGAAGTTCTGTAGATGAAAACTGCCAACTAGAAAAGGTCCCATATAAATGCAGTGAATACAAAGCATAGTAAAGTACAAAGACCTCAGAATTTCCATATACCTTCATGACCAAAATATTGGAATCCCTGCATTTCTGTCAGATAACACACCTCTTCTCCTAGACAACTGTTGCAGTCACAGATTCTTTGGTATTGTCATGTTTCTTTCTTTTGTTTGCATTGGAACAACACCAAAAAATGGAGAAAAATGCCAAATACATATGATCCATTCCACACAGAACTCCAAACATGGACTGGATAGAATTATTGACACCTTTTCAAAATCAACAAAAACAGTTGTATTTCCAGCCTGTGATGCTCCTTTAATTTGTAATGAAACTCACCTGTAGCAACCAACAGGTGGTAGTGAAATAGAAATCACACTTGGAGCCAGTTAAAATTGAGAAAAGTTGATTCAACCTTTGTGTCATGTGGACGACACTGAGCATGGAGAAAAGAAAGAAGAGCAAAGAATTGTCTGAGGATTTGAGAACCACAATAGTGGAAAAGCCTGGACAGTCTCAAGGCTCCAAGTCCATCTCCAGAGATCTGGTTGTTCCTGTGTCCACTGTAACATTGTCAAGGCGTTTACAGTCCATGGCGCTGAGGCTAATCTCCATGGACGTGGACGGAAGAGGAAACTAGATGACAGATTGTAACGAAGGATTGTTTGAATGGTGGATAAAGAACCTCGATCAACTTCCAAACTAATCCAAGCTGACCTACAGGCACAGGGTGCAACATTGTTAGCTCACACTATCAGTCACCATCTGAATGACAAGGGACATTATGGTAGGAGACCCAGGGGCCCCCACTGCTGACACAGAGATATAAAGAAGCCAAACTGGAGTTTGTCAAAACTTACCTGAGGAAGCCACCATCCCTCTGGGAGAATGTCCTGTGGACAAATAAGACTAAAATAGAGCTGTTTGGTCGAGCACATCATTCTACTGTTTACAGAAAATGAAATGAGGTCTTCAAAGAAAAGAACACGTCCCTACAGTCAAACATGATGGAGGTTTACTGATGTTCTGGGGATGCTCTGCTGCTTCAGGCCCTGGATGTCTTAAGTGTGTGTATGGCATTATGAAATATGAAGACTACCAACAAATTCTGGGTCATAATGTAGGGCCCAGTGTCAGAAAGTTGGGTCTCTGTCAGAGGTTATGGGTCTTACAACAGGACAATGACCCAAAGCAGATTTCACAAAGCATTAGAGATGGTTTCAGACAATGAGCTGTAGAGTTGTGAAGTGGCCAGCAATGAGTCCAGATCTAAATCCCATAGAGCTCCTGTGGAGAGATCTCAGAACAGCAGCTGGGAGAAGGAAGCCTTCAAATCTGAGAGACCTGGAACAGTTGGCAGAAGAAGAGAGGTCCAAACTTCCAGTGGAGAGGTGGAAGAAACTCACTGATGGTTACAGGAAGTGACTAATTTCACTTATTTTGTCCAGAGGGTGTGCTACGAAATATTGAGGGTGTCAGTAATTCTGTCCAGTCCATTTTTGGAGTTCTGTGTGGAATGGATCAGCTTGGCTTTTCTCAGTTTTTTGTGTTGTTCTAATGCAAACAAAAAAATAAAGAGGAAAATACCCAAGAATTTGTGATTGCAACAATTTTCTAGGAGAAGTGGTTTGTTATCTGACAGAAATGCTGGGGTGCCAATATTTTTGGCCATGACTGTATGTACTTAGACACTTTCAACAAAAATGCAGAAAAGCACGAGTTGCTTCAATTGTTTAGTTCAATCTCTCAAAGAACACAGACAACGCTGTAAGTTTTTGTTGGTGTTTTTTGGGAATGAGACTCTCACCAACAGAGTCTCTTTCTTACTTGAATGATTTTCATTCAGTTCCTCCAACACACCAATATAAACCTACTCCTTTATCAGAGACAAACACGAAAACCATCATTTCTTTCTCCTGATCTGGAGGTGAATGAGAAGTGTGGACACGGTCCCACCATTACGTGAAGACAAAGACCACTGTCTACAACAGACTGACAGTCACTGCTTCACATCCCAAACCCTCTGATGAAAGCACCCTAACATCAGGGTGGTTGGCTGATTCCAGCTCAGCTCCCCTCTCTCCTATCAGGGACACACAGGTTGCCTCAGCTCCTCCTGTTCATCTTCACCTTCAGGACAGATTCAGAAGGAAGTCCCCTCTGAGGTTTTGATGTAATCCCTGAAGTCAGCCGGGACACTCAGCATAGAGCACACCTGGACAATACCAGACAGGGTTAGCTAGTGCACATTAACTGCTCTACTAGTTTGTATGCAAGGAATTCATAGTGAGACTAAGACCATGCCTATACAGGTTGCACAGTGAGAGCAGCACTCAGCGGAGCAGCAGCTTCAGGGGCTGTATTTAGTTGCAGGTAGGGGTGGAAAGTTTCTGGAAACTTTCCATGGGAATTAACAGGAATATATGAGAATTGAAAATGTGGGGTCATTTTATACAAACATAAATATAAACATTTTGTTTGTTCATAAGCAGACATGCCCGCAAACCCTACGCAAATCTGACATTTTTAACTTAGATTTATTTCTGAGTAGAATGTTAATGTATTCTGACACTGAACAACAACAAAGCATGAATGTTGAATAAAATAAACATATTCCCTATGATTCCTCTCACCCTAACGTAAAAGTCCCATTAAAAATGGAAAGTGAAAGCACTTATTTTTTCAAGTTTCTCGAGTCTCTGGTTTCTGCATTTTTCATTGTAATCCTTTCAGCTTTCTTCTTCCTGGACCTCATCAACATCCTCAATGTCCACATCAGAGCTAGCTACTGTAAAAAACACATTTTGATATACTGTTTGTCATTCAGACTTTAATACCATAAATCAAAATGTTTACCCCAGTAATATCATCAAACTTGCTTAACTGGATGTGGTCCTTGGGCTCAACTGCAGCGGTGTGGCTTCAGCAGTCCTGCTGTAGTGTGTGGGATTCCAGAAATGATCTTTATATGTGACTGAGGACTGCACAGTGCACGCTGGGGGCGTGACCTCAGTAGCCCTGAGGTAAGTAGTTTGCTGTGCGCATATAACAGAAATGCACAGGGTAAAAACTCAACTAAATTAGCATTAAATTTGACTGTTTTAACAAAAATTATGCTGCAAGATGTTTTCAACCACATTTCAGTTCATTGTTATAAGATAATCAGCAATTTTGCAAATTTCCAGTTCATCCCCAGTAATTCCCATTAATTCCCATGGAAAGTTTCCAACTCTGAAATTTCCTGGAGTTTTGCAAACCTAGCTGCAGGTCACCCACATTCTCACAGTCACCACATAATGACTGCAGGTCTGAACAGCAGATCTGTCACTGAACAGGGTGTCTGCATATAAAGCTAAACCTAATACCTGATGTTTGATGACAGGGACCAGCTTGAGGGCTTGCATAAACACAGTGTGCACATCTGCTCTGTTACACTCTGCTCCATCTGTGTTACTTTAGTGAAACTATTTACCTCTAGTTAAAGCAGCCATGCAGGCTATTTACAGATCCCAACTTTCTGTAGAGGGCTAACTAATAGGGAAGCTCTGGATTTCTCTGCAGGTTGTATAAAAAGATAACTTTAATAATGGTGCACTTCTCAAGAATTATCCCAACAGGTAAGCTGATTAACTTCAGTGTAAAGGTAAGCATTAGGTTGGCTTTGGGTCTTACAGGCTATTGCAACTTTACACAGAAAACTCAAACTTACACTGATGAGGTCTGTTGTTTGGTCTGTCAAACTCTTTGAAATGTAAACTGCTTCTCTTTCTAATCTAAATGTTGTTCTCCTTATTTCCTGGTTCGGACACTGGATTTTAAACCTGCTTGGCTTGGCTTTGTGAAGGTGATATCTCAGGAATGGCTTGAGGGAATCTCTTCAAATTTGGCACAATTGTCGACTTAGACTCAAAGATGGAGCTGATTAGATTTTGGTGGTCAAAGGTCAATTTGACTGGTTGGAGGAGGCATATAACCGTGAAGCGGTAATTCTAGTTTTACTATTACAACACACTGTCATGACCGTTTTCTTCACATCTAACTGAAATGTGCATACTGCCCTGTTGCCTGGACTTCCATAAGTGAAAAAAATCTTGCAAGCCTTAAAGACTCCTTGTCAGGTTGGTCTGATCACAACTAATAACTTCAGAACAAAAAGCAAAAATCCAGCAAAATAAACTGGCAAAAATTTCAAAACATGTTCTGATTTTGTCACTATGGGTTATTGCCTGATGGGCAAAAAAATAAAGTTTATTTACAGTGCCCTGCAAAAGTATTCATACCTTTAGAACTTTTCCACATTTTGTCACGTTACAACCACAAACTTAAATATATTTTATTGGGATTTTATATGATAGACCAACACAAAGCATCGCATAAATTTTTTTTTTTTTTTTTATTGAAACAAAGTAGGGGCAGCACGGTGGCACAGTGGTTAGCGCCGTTGCCTCACAGCGAGAAGGTTCCAGGTTCGGCCCCCTGTGTGGAGTTTGCATGTTCTCCCCGTGCTTGCATGGGTTCTCTCCGGGTACTCCGGCTTCCTCCCACAGTCCAAAGACATGCAGCTTAGGTTGATTGGTGTCTCTAAATTGCCCATAGAAGTGCATGTGCGTGTGCGTGTGTGTGTGTGGTTGTTTGTCTACGTGTTAGCCCCTGCGATGGATTGGCGACCTGTCCAGGTTGTACCCTGCCTTCGCCCGATTGCCGGCCGAGATTGGCTCCGGCCCCCCGCCCGTGACCCCGCTCAGGGAACAAACGGTAGAAAATGAATGAATGAATGAAACAAAGTAACACATTAACAAAACAAACATGGGAGACAAGACAACAGTTACATGACATTACAAAAGGATATAGAGTGTTTAATGAGGTTGTAGTGTGTGAAATGTGGGTATTTCCAAGTCATGCAGTCTATGAAATGCAAGAAAGGGAAAAGGAGGGAAAGTAAATAAAATTTTTGTTTTTTTTTTATAAACTATTCTTGTGAGTGGATGCCATTTTCTCTAATGTGATGTATTCTGTCAGAAGGGTGGT